CTGCCGGTGACGGTTAGACTGCCATGGTTCGTGGCTGAGCTATGACATAATGCTCTGCCTGCTCACCGTGGCTGAGTTTCAATGTGGCTCCCCCTTTCTTGTTCGTGTTTGGGTGTTGGTTCTAGTTGGGTTCCTGGTCAAATGGTAAGGCTGCAGAAGGGAAAGGAAAAAAAAATAGTATGGAGTAGCCTGGAGACTATAATAGTAAGTAAGCAAAAAAATCTATAAGATCAGCCCCTCTCCAGGCTCCAGAACTTCTTCTTCTTCTCTCCCGACCCCTGAAGAACTTCGATCCCAGATGTGGCTCAGGGTCGGATCGTAGGGCCGATTATTCAGCCGGGGGGGCTCGGAGTGTCGGAAGCAGCAGCAGCAAAGATTCTCCATGGCTTTTGCGGTGTTTGTTAGGCACCAGAGTATCCGGTTGCACTAGTGGCCACTATCGTCAACACAGACCTCGACGCCCAAGAATTCTTCCCTCGTTTTCCGCCGGTTTCTGCCACATCAATGGTCCTGTGCCCCGTGATCGGTCGAGCGTTGGTTGTCACGATGCTTTCTTCTCAGCTCGTCAGCCGTCAGCCGTCAGCGGCCAACACATAAGGCTGGGTCATCCCAGTGGGAAATCCGGGGAAATTCACCGATGACAATGTTGTCGGCCAGCAACATCAACGGGACTCAATGATTGTCTCACAATGAATGTGGAATGTGCGCCCCATAGCTGTGTGCCTGGATTCGGTCATCCCTTCTAGGATCTTTCGTCTGATCAATCAATTCAACATGCCTTCTTACATTGGCATGCGCATTGGGCGATGGGAGCCAAGCATAGGATTCCTGGAGATTATAGACTCATCTTAGACCCGTCTTACGTTTACCTCACTACATAAGCCAACTCACTAATCGACTTCTCCGTAGTCGCAGTTGGTCTCCGCGGGAAGCTGGTGAACTCCCCTTATCAAGGGCCCAAGTAACACCGAGACCGAGCCCCAATGGGGAAATGGCCGGACTATCTGATAAATCCGATCGGGCCTAGCGGGCTCGGCAATGATATAACCGGATCCAAACTTTTTCCCACCGGGCGAACTCGTCGTCCCCCTGCTGTCATCTTCCCTTGGTCATCAACTGTTCATCCATCGTGTATGGTACAGTTGCAGATTTCATTCACATCATGTCTACTATGACCCCTACTGCCTTGAGACAGGCATCCCGGGCTTACGCCCGTCGGCTTTTGTCGACTCCGCATGGCTCTCTGACGGCATCCCTGCCCCGGCGGGTGGTCGCCACCAGCGCTGCTATCCCCAGACGCTCGTACGTCTCCGAAACCAAGGCTGGAAATGCCCAGGTTACGGTGGACACGGCCATCAAGCAGGACCAGAAGGCTTTTGTGAACCAGACTGGACTTAATGCGCAGAAGGTTAACCTTCCTGGTTCGGGCATCTCCGGCGATGCGTCCATGAGCCCTACCGCCGGCATTCTGAAGCAGGCGACTGTTATGGACCAAGGCACCCGCCCTGTCTACCTCGACATGCAGGCAACGACCCCGACGGATCCCCGTGTCCTTGACGCCATGCTTCCCTACCTTACCGGCATCTACGGAAACCCCCATTCCAGAACTCACGCCTACGGCTGGGAGTCCGAGAAAGCCGTCGAGCAAGCCAGAGAACACGTCGCCAAGCTTATCGGCGCCGACCCCAAGGAAATCATCTTCACCAGCGGCGCTACTGAGAGTAACAACATGAGCATCAAGGGTGTCGCCAGATTCTTCGGTCGCTCTGGCAAGAAGAAGCACATCATCACCACCCAGACTGAGCACAAGTGTGTTTTGGACAGCTGCAGGCACTTGCAGGACGAGGGATTCGATGTGACATACCTGCCCGTGCAGAGCAATGGATTGATTCGGATGGAAGAGCTGGAGGCGGCCATTCGTCCCGACACTGCCCTTGTCAGTATCATGGCTGTCAACAATGAGATTGGTGTCATTCAGCCCATGGAGGAGATCGGAAAGCTTTGCCGCTCGAAGAAGATCTTCTTCCACACCGACGGTGCCCAGGCTGTGGGCAAGATCCCCCTGGATGTCAACAAGCTGAACATTGATTTGATGTCGATTTCCAGCCACAAGATCTATGGCCCCAAGGGTATGGGTGCATGCTATGTTCGCCGTAGGCCCAGAGTTCGTCTCGAGCCTATCATTTCCGGAGGTGGACAGGAGAGAGGTCTCCGCAGTGGCACCATTGCCCCCCACCTTGTAGTCGGATTTGGTGAGGCTTGCCGTATTGCATATGAAGACATGGAGGTACGTTCCACTTTTCCTTCTTTTAAACTCAACCTTTCCCAGTCAAGAAGTTCCCGCGATGATTATAAGCTTTAATATGTATCGATTAACTGAGGCGCCATGGGGGTAGCGACACGCTTTGCGTGTCCCCATGGCGCTTTGACGACCGTAGCAGGGGTGATGAGTCGGGTTGTTGCATTTGCTTATTGCGAGACAGCGAAGTCGATGAGAAAGTAGCTGACAAATCTGCACAGTATGACTCCAAGCACATCGCAAGGCTCTCGAAGCGCCTGAGCGACGGCCTCTTGGCCATGGAACACACCACGCTCAACGGTGATCCTGACCGCCACTACCCCGGTTGTGTTAACATCTCCTTTGCCTACATTGAAGGCGAGTCGCTTCTGATGGCTCTGAAGGACATTGCCCTCTCATCCGGTAGTGCCTGCACGTCCGCCTCTTTGGAACCCAGCTACGTCCTGCGGGCTCTGGGCAGCAGCGACGAGAGTGCCCACAGCAGTATCCGGTTCGGTATTGGCCGGTTCACGACCGACAGTGAGATTGACTACGTGCTCAAGGCGGTGCAAGACCGCGTCCACTTCCTGCGGGAGCTGAGCCCGCTGTGGGAGATGGTCCAGGAGGGTATCGATTTGAACTCGATTGAATGGAGCCAGCACTAAAACTTTCTCTTTCTGTGTTAAAGACTGACTGCGAGGGCGGTCATATGGTCGTATACCAGGCGCATACTTGTTGTTTCTTTTCCAGATATCAGCGGTGGGATGGCGTTCATATAGTGTGTAACATTATAGGATTGATGACGATCTGTCCAGTCTGTACGAAAAAATGGATATTAATGACCAATCAATTGACCGACCTAGAGAGATGAGTAGTATGTAGACAGACGCTTTATCGGCAACGGATAGTACTTGTGCACGATAAGATGACCTTTGGAGTGACTTTGAGTGATTTGTGCCTGTAGTTCTCAGCGAGTCATGCATATACGGACCATGACTATGCCCCCAAGGTATTGATGGGTATTCGGAGAAAGTAATGTCGATAGATACCCATGATCTAGTTAGTAGTGCTGGCATCCCGTGATTGCTTCCATGTCTGCTGACTCACGAAGGAGGCACCGAATCGGGCCAGTTGCAGGTGCTGTATGATTGGCTGTATAGTAGTGGTAGTAATAGTCTCACGTGATTGACGTTTGACGCGGAGAACTCCCGGCGCCGAGGTAATCACTAATCACGTCTTCAGTGGAAAAAGAAAGACAGACGGAAATTCTCCGGTGGATTGAACCAGGTTTGAAATGGTGCTATGTCAAAGACTAAAGATAATCATGCAGATCAGTAGTTGTCCAACCAGCGAGGTCGGAAGTCGAAATAAGATGGGCAGCTCCGCACGGGGCCGACCAACTCACCGCAGACCCGAATGGGGTGGCGTGGGTGGGAGCGAATACGCCCCCCAGCTCGCTTAACTGCCCGATTTCGCACTCGGCCTCCCCTCCCACGCAGTCCCGGTTCATTCTCTAGCACTCAGCCTACTGGAATCCGGTGGACACCCCTTTCGCTCGCACCCAGTCTTCCCGCTGGCGCTGTCCCAAGGGCCTCATCTACTCCAGATGCGCCTGCGCCCATCAACTTTACCCATGGGATGGTTCACAGTTCACGCCTCCCTTCTCCGTCGCTGCTGATATGACGGATATCTTCATCAACCAAGATTCCCCAACAACCAAAACTCTCTCTCTCAAAGCCGCCCGTCTTCCTGGCCACTGCAAAATATTCGCCTCTACTCTCTCCCGTCTGGCCTGCACTTAAGTTGGATCCGGCCCACTTGACCTCTGGTCACGACGGTCCATCCACGGACTAGTCAACTGTCCTACCCTTCACCATGGGTACAGAATATACTACCTCCACGATCGCTGGCTCTACCCCTGTTTCGTGTCGGTCGACGGTTTCCGGGTGACACAATCGCCGTTATTACGGAATGACTGGCCCTGGGTCGCCAGGCTGATTAATTCTCTCGTCCGGCTATTCGGTCCTCGCGGCTTTCCTGGGAACTTGTCCTGGTGGAAAATGGTCGCTGATTATTTAACTTCGGGAGAGGACCATTGTACGATGGGCTTAGTTTGAGCAAATTTTCCTTCCCCTTTCTTTTTTACCTTTCCTTCTCTCATCTCGCCATCTTTTGTGTCCAAATCTGTCCCGGTTGTTCCCGTGACCTTCACAAACCTCACTTTTCTGACAATTACCAGACCTGGCGTTGCCTCTCGTGCCTGGTCTCCTGCTCTGAGCCTTGATCGTCTTGCTGTGACCTGGGTCAGATCAACCGAAGCCTTGTTTTCCTGACTGCATCGCAGTTGTGAGGCGTCCGTAACAGGCCCGACACGACACCTACTTCTGTTTGTGTCCGATCTTGTCAGCTTTTACTTGGTCGGTTGGGATCTCGCCTGCTTTGTCGCAGTGTGTGCGTCACACGACTGTTGCTTTCCTAGAGATTGTCCGGACTCACGTCCGGGCACTGGAACCTCTCCTTCCTCCGAGCTTCCATATTATTCCGCTCGACGTCAAGTCCCGGACAATCAGCGAACCTTACGCGACTGCCCTCGCTGTGAGCCCACTCGCACGTGAGCATCTACTACATTAATATTAGGCCTCGTCGCTGGCTCTTTGGGCATTTCCATTCACCCCGACTCGTATATTGTGTCGTTTAGGTTGTTTTGAGCCGTCCCATCATCATGCTTCCTCCGATTCCAGCATTGGCGGACTACGGCATCTCGGCGGACCATGGCTTCCTCCCTCCAGAGCCACCGCTTGAGATCTTGCCAGACCCTTATTATGCCAAGTGGGAGTGGATCGTTTCCAACCTGCAGGCACTTCTGACTAGCCGGAGGATCCGGGAGGTGGTCGACCATATGTCCACGTTGTCTACATCATATCTCCAGTCGGAGAACGAGTGGCGCAGGGCCTATGTCGTACTGGTATTTATGCTACATGGGTATGTGTGGGGGGGCAGCAAGCCGGCAGAGGTAGGTGACACAAAGCTACAAAGTGGTTCCTGAGCTAATTTTGGTGACCAGAAAATCCCGCCTCAGCTGACCGTCCCACTATTCGACGTCTGCGAGCACCTGGGTCTGCCACCCGTGGCCACTTATGCAGGGGTGTGTTTGTGGAACTATAAGCCTATTTTCCCGGAGGAACCGATCGATGATTTACGTAATCTGGACACCATCAACACATTCACAGGGTCTTTGGATGAGAAGTGGTTCTACCTGGTCTCAGTGGCCATTGAAGCTCGTGGAGCACCCTCGATCCCGCTGGTGCTGCAAGCAATTGCGGCGGCCCGGGCTGGAAACAGTCTGGTAGTCACCGAATGCCTGCAGCGACTTGCTGAGGTGCTGGACGAGGTAGGGTCGCTGTTGGAGCGCATGTACGAGCATTGCGATCCGTACGTGTTCTACCACCGCATCCGGCCCTACCTGGCTGGGAGCAAGAACATGGCTGATGCCGGTCTCCCGCATGGTCTGTTGTACGATTATGGAAACGGGCAGCCCGAGTATCGACAGTATGGCGGTGGTAGCAACGCCCAGAGCTCACTGATCCAGTTCTTCGACATCGCTCTGGGCATTGAGCACCGTCCGACCGGGGAGACGCGTCCGAGCAGCACCCCGATAAAGGACGAGAAAGAGGGAGTTGCTGGGGCACCACGTCACGGTTTTATCCAGGAGATGCGTACATACATGCCTGCAGCGCATCGTCGTTTCTTGGAGCATGTCAATGCAGTGGCCAACATCCGACAGTACGTGGAAGCACGACGGTCGGACAAGGCACTGTGCATTGCATACGACGCATGTCTGTCGATGCTTCGGGCAATGCGCGACAAGCACATCCAAGTCGTATCCCGCTATATCATTATTCAGTCTCGGGACGCTCGATCCAGTCGCCCAGCGCGCGCAACCAGTCCCAAGAGACCCATCAACTTGGCGACCGCCCGAAACGGCGAGAAGCCGGACAGCAAGAAATTGCGGGGCACGGGTGGAACAGCCTTGATCCCGTTCCTGAAACAAGCACGGGACGAGACGGGCGAGCCAGCGATCGATGCATGGGCCCGTCGGCTGTTGAGTACAGGGCCGTCGGAGTCTAGCTTCGCGGCCCTGAGCAAAGTGGACGAGGACCACGATGGACATCTCCAGGTAGTGGGGCTGTCAGGAACATGGGCAGCAGATGACAGTGAGGGTGGCATTTGTCATTGGTAGCATTGCATGGAATAGATGCTGCATGGTTTTGTTTTTTGTTTGTTCATGATTCACTAATGAGCGGGTCGGTGTTTTCACTATCAGCATTGAGACAGCCGATGACGATGACGATGACGAGGGGGGATGATCGATGTACATAGAGCGATGAATACTTTGATTATGACGAGACTGATGAATGCATGAGAGATTGGACGTCATTCCCACTTGCCTGTTTGCCTCCTTGCCCCTTTTGTTCCTGTTGCGGATCCATTTTGGTGTCACTTCGACTCTGCCGTGCCTGGCGATGACGTCGGTGTTTGACGTCATGTACCCCGGACTCACCACCACCATCTATCTATAAATACACCCACAACATCAACACCATCAACACAGCATTACACAAAGAAGCAAATAACCACTACTACACTACATTACATTACAATCAACCTACTCTCTACTACACTTCTCGAACCAATACTACATACACACCAACAACCACAATGTCCTCCACCGACTCCCCCAACAACAACACCACCACCACCACCACCACCTCGACCCTTAAATCCTACGTCGACCAAGCAACCGGCATGGTCCAACGCGCCGCTGGCTCCCTAACCGGCGACTCCTCCACCCAGGTTCGTTCCCCCTTCCCATCCCCATCACCATCAACCCCACAAACTAACACTCTCCGTCTAGTCCACCGGCTCTGCCACCCAATCCCGCGGCGAAGCCGAACACAACGCCAGCCACAACAACTTCACCAAGCTTGGACCCGTTACCGCCGACCCTGCCACGGGCGCTGCGGCCACAGACCACCCTCAGCGCAGCAACGGCAGCTGGGACCAGACCGTCGGTTCTGCGAAGGAGTCCCTAGGCAATCTGATTGGAAATGAGGGTCTGAGGAAGGCTGGTCAGGAGCAGAATGCGGCTGGCAAGCAGGCCGAGGCGGAGGGCCAGATGAGGGATTGGAAGGAGGGCGTTGAGGGTAGAGCTAAGGGAGCTGTGGGGAAGGTCGCTGCTGCAGCGACGGGTGATGAGGAGGAGGAGAGGAAGTGGAGGGATGTGCATGATGAGGGGAAGGTTAGGGAGAGGGGGGTCGAGAGTGAGGTTCAGAAGAGGTATTGATCCACTCCCTCCGGATGAGAGATGGATGGAAGGGAGTTGAAGTTATGTGATACGATATGATTGACATGACTGTTTGATATGGGAATGGAGTTATTGATTTTTTTTTTGTCTATTTTTGTTTCTTTTTAATTTTTTCAAAGAGTGACCTTGTAGGTTGGGAGTAAGGATCTAAAGTATGCACCATGAGTAAAAGAACAATAGCCTTGAGAGACTACGGAGCGCTGATCTTTATGACGCTTATACTATACTGTAATGGTCTGTAACATAGGCAATTATACTAGTATTATATGAGAGTTCTATGTATGTAGTACTGCGAGACATACATTTGAGTAAAAAGCACTGGTCTAGGACCTCATGTGACTATGCAACCACTCATCCTCCGCCAACTCCCGAGCAGAGCTGCGCTTTCTCGGCTCCCACTGTAGCATCTTCCGCATGAAATGTAGGAACGCCTCTCTCTCCGCCCTCCCCTCCAGAGTAGTTTCCCTTTCATCAAGGGGAACCTGATCAGTTAATAATTCCGGGTGGAGAAAAGCACCTATACTCATCGAATTAGTAAATAGGAGACAAATCGCATGAGGTGCGGTGTAACCACCTTCACTCGAGAAAAATTTATCTCTCAGCTCCCCCTGTGCAAGCAGACTAGCAGGCGGCGAGCCAAGAAGATTAATCATCTCGGCAAGATGCGCTCGACTCCTGTACCTCTCATCTACAGGGTCTTGCCCGGTGAACAAGGAACCGCCTTCGTATAGATCCCAAATCTGTCAGCTAAAGTATTAGTAAATCTGTGGACAAATTTATATCGTTTTGTCCTACCATGCATCCAACATTCCAAATATCAGCACTATACGTCCATGGAACTCCTAATATCACCTCCGGTGCTCGATAGATCTGAGGCTGAATGAATACCCTCTGATATTCATCGTTGACGACCATGGCTGAACCAAAATCGCACAGAACCGGGGCACCAACTTCTCTGGGTACTTTGAGTTCTCGTGACATGTATATTGTTCTCTCATCGCCCTCCTTCCTCGGGACGGGTCGTCGGGATTCGTTCTCCTCTATATCCGTGAAGACTGAGTCATCTTTGATACCGAACATGATATTATCGGCTTTGATATCTTGAAGTGTTAAAAAGAAAAAGTGAGAATCATAGAAACGGGTATATATATCGGGCTACAAACCTGTGTGCGCGATCTTGCATTCCGTATGCAGAAAGTCCAGTGCTAGAAATAAGCGATGAAGAACAACAGCAATGACTGCGGATGGTAGCCTCTCAACTGGATTGCGGCGCAAGAAAGCTAGCACGCTTTCCCATAATGGGGGGTGCACAAGGCAACGATGTTTGTCTTGAGGGCCGTCGATGTAAAAAGTATCCAGTAACGTTCTGATGACCTCGCGGCCGGGATGCGTGGTTGGGGACTGTTCCATGAATTTGTACATATTAAGCTCGTTATCGACATGCTGACCCATAGACGAAGCTTCGATGCATATCTTGAGCATAACATAACGGCGGTTTCTATGAAGTATGAGTATCTCAGATAGACTCATTTATGGGAAGAAAGAAAAGAGGGTTCCCCACTCCATGTCCCGGGCAAGCCACGCGGTTGAAGTAGATCCATATCCCAGTTTGCCAATGACCTGATACTGGTCTTTGATGACTTCTCCTATACGTGTGGGATAGTACTGTGAGGCGGTATATTCGGGGAGAGTCTCTTCTTCTATCTGGTGCCAATTGGGGATGCGAGTGAAGTTGGGGTTGATGAAATCTAAGGGTTTCCAGCGTCGCCCTAGCTGGGGTAGAGATCTAAGGAGCGATGAGAGCATGGTTCGAGGTAGGTTTAGTCTTAAACGGTCGTGTAATCATCAGCCGTTAATGTTGACAATGAGAGCAGAGCAATCACAGGGCGGGTCTACAGGAGGAGCGCGCTAGGCTGAATGCGGAAAGCCTAATCAGATCCACCACAATAATTTTGGGACCGAAAAAAAAAGACCCTCAGATGGAGTCTGAGGAGGCAAAAAGTTGACCTACGCAGGACTCGAACCTGCAATCTCTTGATCCGTAGTCAAGCGCCTTACCATTGGGCCAGCAGGCCAGCTGATATATTTGGGTGACTATTTATGACTTTATCAACCAAAAGTACTGGCAGCGCTAAGGATCGAGTTAGTCGAGAATAAGCCATTGTATGGCTACTACTTTTAGGGCTTATATAATAGAGCTCCCCAGTTATATTCATGTTAAAGATACTATTAACCTTGGTGAGTGAGTTGGGCACCATGAAGGAGACCAAGAAGTTGAAAAGCAATCCATTTGGGCACTGACTCTCTAACTATCTCTATATTGTCTACCAGAAGGTCATCCCTTGATAATCTACCATCTTTACAACACCTTCCCCCCTCTCACCTGAGCGATGAATTCTCGGCTGGGCTTAAGGTCTCCCATATCGAGGAGCTCAATGTACCGACGCGCCGGCATTTCAAGACCCTCGACCATGTGGCTGTTCGGCTGTCCACCATCACCCATCTGTTTCAGCCGGAACACATTCCATTCCCAGGGGGTGAGGTGATCATCAGGCAATCCATCTGGAGGACAATTGACTGCTTGGTTAAACATTGTCTTGAAAAATTGTGGCTTTGAGAGGATTTGAACGGGATACGTCCTCCTCTTCCAATGCCCCAGTTGCGGCAAGCGAGGGTCCGTAACAACCATGTAGTTCCGATCCTGAGGCCCTGGAACTTCCAGTCCAGGATCAGGCAGCTTTGGATCAATATCTGACTTCCTGTACAATTTGAGCGACTCACACCAAAACGGAGGGTTACCTTGTGGGCCATGATCAAGGTGAAAATGATAGGGCGCTGGTGATGACGCTTCTTCAGTCATAGCATCGTTCTCCCAGTCGCAATTATCGCCTCCTTTGCAGGGCTCGAGGCCGTTGGCACGGAGAGCTTCGGCTGCTTCGTGTACTTTTGCGTCGGCGACAATGAGGGTGGTTCCCTGCAGTAGTTGGGTTAGTGTATTCTCTTCTTCTTGGATGTTAGCAGGATATGGGTGAAGAACAGAACTTACCAGCCTGCAGGGAATCTCAACGCCGTAACTTTCCAAAGCAACCTCTCCAATGAAAGCACAGGGTATTCTGGCCTCTTGCAGCCATATTGTAACCGCTTCGGCTGACTTCATCCCAATTTTAGCTGGCTCCATCTCGAACCAGGGCACTTGCGATGAGGGTTTTGTGGAGGCCATTTTTAGACTGCGGTCAACAATCTGTAAAGCATCTGCGTATCCTCTTTGGTGGATGTTGGGGGTCTTTTATGGTTACACGAGATCGATGGTCTTCAAAATATATCGTTTCTGTCTTTCTTGCTTTTCGCTCTGCACCGGAGCTTTGCTGGGAAGTTTTTATTCTCTTCAGGCATGATCCGACGTTATGAGTGGGTGGATGGCATGATAAAGATGAATAAGAGGCGTTTCCTTTTCTTGTCCATTCTCTCGGTACTTTACGTGGTGGATCATTGCTGCTTAGCTGCGATCATGGTGTAGGGATAGAACCTTTAATGCACCAGCAGAGTATCTTCATTAAAAGAGTTGAGGTTCACACGATATAAGGTACCAAGTACTGCACATGCTGGGCAGCTTCCTTAGTATATATATTATTGAATGGGATATACTATACTACTGATTATTCTTCTGTTTGGCGACCCATGTACTAAGTAGACGGTAGTATGTCTCACATGGTGAATGATAAAGGGCCCTGAGGACAAAGTGATGGGAGTATAGCCCTATCTGCTCATCATTGAACATGGGCAACCGCCGAATACAAAGAATACCAAAAAGTCACACATTGTCAACCTTTATTGCTTGCCAGATCCCAAGATAGTATCCACCTACGCAGACATACAAGATTCGAGATCTACCGCGAAGCTTCACTACCTGAAGATTGCGAGCCACGCCTCAACCCAATGACCATTTCCAGACCTAAAATAAAGTAACATCCAACATAAAATTTAAATTCTACACCCACCCAAATCTAGCCCGTTTCACCCTATTTCTACCTCCCATCCACAATAGGTTACACCCGTCCCCTCTATCCCCAAAAAGCATAGGGCAAAAACCAACTCTAAAAATGAGTCTCGAACTAAAAGCCCAGACTACGCTTCAGAAGTTCCCCTAAGTATGCAGATCCCTCAATCTTAGCCCGGGCCCTTCTCCACGACGATCCCATCCGTTTATTCCCCTCACACATCGGATCTCGGTCCAAGTTGAACCAGTTCCCATGCATATGATGGTGTGCCCCTGCACCCTAACTGTCCCTGTCCCAGTCAGTCCCAACCCATCCCGTCCCATATACTATTATCTACTACCACACTCCACCCTCTAGTAGTACATCTCTTTCTACTACTTCCTCCAACCTCAACTCACCATCAAAACCAAATATACCACCGGAAACAAATACTAAGTAGAAAATCACCACCAAAATGCGCCTCTCCTCCCTCTTCCTCCTCCTCCCCACCCTCCTAGCCACCACAGCCATATGTGCCCCGGAACCCATCCCCAATGTGAACCTCAACGACAACAACCTCGTCGCTCTCGCGCAAGCCTTGTTCGTGCCACCCATTCTCCCCAACCACCCAACCAACTTAAACAATCCGCACATAATCAGCGATTAGTATATGTTTACTGATAATCTCATACAGAAAGCCCTCCCTCCCCACACAAACCCAACCACCTCCCAACCTAGAGAGCGTCTCCCCTCCACCACACGCCGTCGTGCACCAAGTCATCACAGCCGTTCCTCCCACAGCGCTCGCGCAGCTCTTCGTGCCCGCGAAGCGCGTTGCCATGGCGAGTGAGTTCAGCGCTGGGAATACGCCCGAGTGGTATAAGGCGCTGCCGACGGACGTGCAGAGTTACTTTGCTGAGGTGAAGAGGCAGATTGCGGCGACGGGGGTGGGTGAGGCGAAGGCTGCGGAGGAGACGAAGTCGAGTGGTGGTAGTAGTGTTTCTGCTTCGGTGAGTGGGTGGTTGGTTGGGTTGGTTGGTGCTGTTGCTGTTGTTGGGGGGGTTGTGGTTTAGGGTTTGGGTTTGAACTACCAGCATGGGGTTACTGGGGGTGGTGGTTGGAGATTGTATAGGCATAGTGGAATTTGGTGGAATGGGGGTTGGAATTAATGGTTGTGGGTATGGCTTACTGTCGGGTAGTTGTCGAAGGTTATGGATTTGAAAACGTTTGGTCATTGGGTTTTCCTTTAAATTCTAGTGAATTATCTTGCTTCTGTTTTCTGATTGTTGAAAATCGTACGGAATAGTGTCTTGCACCTTGCTATTTCAAACCAACTACGGACGCCAAGCTATGTACATTGTCTGGCCAACATGTATCGACCTTATGGGTATCTATCTACAGATCCGTCTACATAGGTCTCGCAATTAAAAAAGAGTGATTCCATCATCATAACATCAATGCACTTCCAGTCCCATGCCTTTGCCTATCTTCCGTATCAATGCCCGTTTCAAGAACGCTTCTCGCGCAAGCCCACGCGTGTGACGTGACCAGGTCTCAACCCCAATGACACCCTTGACCAGCGCAGCTTGAAGGGCGTAGATGGCCTGCTGGATACCGCGTTCCTCTGCAACCAAGTCATACAATTGTTTGCCGACAACGGTCGGGGCGACGAGAACTTCGTCGATCGGTGGGAGACCCGACGCAACGGGATCAGTGCTCGATGACGGGGCTGATGATGATATACGGCTTTGCGCATCGGCGATGACGCCATCTGCGCGCATGAGAGATTGCTGCAGGGTTGTGGTGTTTGATTGAAGAGTCGCATTGAGTGTGTTGAGCGACGCTACTTCGCCTTGAAGAGTGGCAATTGCCGCATGCAGCGAGTGGGATTGAGAAATCAAGGATTGAGCGGCAGTCTCAGATTGTGCGACATTTGCTTGCAGTGTTTCTGCTAAAGTCTTGGAAACAGCGCGTAGTAGGGCGTCCTTCTCAGGATTCGGTGGGATTGGGGGCGCCGGGCCGGTGGGCGTGAACGAGGGGAGCTCGAGCTCAAACGGAGAGGTGAGAAGATCTTGCGTCTCTGCCTTGGGACGTGGAGCTGGTTGCTGCGCTTGCTGAGGTCCAGCATGTGGTGATGGCTGGGGTGGGACTTGCTGTGGCGGAGGTCTCTGATAGACTGTAGGAGGGGCTTGTTGTACGAGGTAGTAAGTATTCTGTTGCGGAAGCCCACGACCCGAATCTTCTGGACGAGTAACGTGGGTACCATTCAATGGCCGGAACTGCGCTGGCCCAGCCTGGTATGCCGGTGTCGACTGGGATACGTGTTGCGGCTGTTGGGGCAAATGATACTGCCCGGATGCCATTGCAGGTGCTTGGCTGCGCTCCGGTGGGTACTGTGGCCTGTTCATAGGACTGCCCATGCTTGCCTGTGGTTGCATCTGTAGCCGCCTAGAATCATGCTCCTTCGGTGGCAGTGGGGGTAGCGGAGGGGGAGACGAGTATCGCGCCGATGACGGAGTGCTCTGTGGTTGTGGCTCAGGTGTTTGCCCAGGTTTCGGGGGCGGCGGCGGCGGCACCTGAGCAGTTACCTGCGGGGAGGCATTCGGAGCGCTATGGGTAGGCGAGGGCCGATTGATTGTGGTATCGAGCTCCGGAGGCAGAGGGGGTAGAGGAGGTGCTTGTGCCTGTACCTGCGCTGGCGGCGGTCGCGGCTGCACAGGCTGTTGTTGTTTATATTTCACCGGCGGCTCCTTGGCAAAAACCTCACGAAGTATCATTAAGAAATCAATCAAAGATGATCGCTAAGCTTGGGTGTCAGCGATATGGCATGCGCATTACGACTGCAGGTTGACTAACCTCCCATGCCTCAGCCCAGTGTGCCAGGTAGTGATGGTACACCCTCCCTTCCAGAGTGACATGCTGACCCACACGAACAGCCATGTCTTGTGTTGGTGTAACATAAACCAATGGTGGTTCCCTGGGGTATGTGTTGGGGATCCATAGCGTGATGGGAAACTTGTAAACAGTTCCGCGGAATGTCACAGGCAACGTGCCGGTCAGTTGGAGGAGGAGGGCAGAGAAACCGTTCTCGTATGCTAGAAGTCGAGGGAAAGACGCGGTCAGCAAGAGCGCAGTAAGATCGCAGAACAGTGGCATACTGTAAACTTCAGTCCTGGGGCCCAGCGAAGGGTATTGACCGAGCACATTGGCTACATCATAGTAGGTGCGATTGGGGTCCTGGTAGGTTTGTCGAGGATCGTAGTGGTCCTATCCCTTGTCAGCGGAAGATTGTATGGGCGCGTGTTCAGTGATTCTCTACCCTGATAAGGACACTGTACAGCCAGTTAAGCGTCCTTTGCGGCACAGCAGCCATGATGGAGGGGGCGAAGGCGCATGATGGGGAAAGTGGGATGGCGGAGTTGGAGTTGGAGTGGGAGTGGGAGTGGGAGTGGGAGCTAGACTAACTGGGCATTGTTGGTGCCTCGCAGCCTCGCTCCACCGCCGCGGCAGTTCCCCGCAACTTCTCCCGCTGACATCTTGATCTATATCATCACCTTGTCAATACTCAATCATTCTTGAAATCTATACCCTAGCGAAAATAAACTCTTTTAGGATGTTTTGGTGACTTGGGAATTGTGCAGGGTCAACGGATGAAGAGTAGAATGTAGTAAGAAGTTTAGTGCTATAACTGGAAGTGGAAGATATAAAAAGGATAGGGTACTAAGCTACGTAGCATTAAATAGCGTGTGGCATCACAAGCATCATTCTCTCGGATATCATGAACAAAACATCATGGTACTTGTATCCTACTAGCAGTACCAAAGGCTTTTCGTCACCTCACTGTCATGCATAACTTCACTGGTACCTACAGGACGAAGTTTTATCTGCTGCTACAAAGTCGGTTTTGCCTCCCCGTACTGACTCGCCCTTATCGTGTGGCATTCCATTACCCCCAACCCCCAAACCAATAGTATAGTAATGGTGTTAGCTGGGGCCTGGAATTGACATGAGTCTGGAAGCTCTCCAGACACTTGATTTTAGGTGACCTCATTGCTAAGCACTCATAGGCGATGGCGCAAAACCGACTAGATTCTTGATGATATTACTACTACCAATAGCTTGATGGGAATTCCCAAAACACCCGACAATGTCGCAAGAGATACGTATAGCCAACCATTTAGCTTTGGGCCAAGGTGTTTCAGCCCGAACGCATTCTATATGAAATAACACATAAGCAGGCTAACCAAAGGACTAAGGCCTATTTACTCCAGGAAACCATTGCGCTGCTTAAGACATACAATATGGGAGCGGCGGCTTCTCATTCCCAGCTCCTGGATCGGATGAAATACACACCCCATGATACATAGTAGCTAGACGAATGCACAAATACAAGAATATTGATCCAGTCCAACAGACCCGAATATTCTCATGGACAAATATATTACCAGAGGTAAGAGGTGAATACATGTCTGTACGTGATTAGTGTTGACCAACAATCTAGTCTTCCATCAGGGGCCGCCCTTTCCACTTGCCATTGTTCTTTGAAATGAACTTGGTATTGTTTGTCTTACATTTAACATTTTCACAAACACCTTCTGGAGCTTATCGCTCAATGCGGTGAAGATTGGCATTGTTTAGGGTTGGTATCCACTTTGTTCCATCATAGTATTGTTGCCCTCATATCAGCTCCATCCTACATATTGTCTGTTTCGGTGTTGCAAGACAATATGCAGCATCGTAAGACGCCTTGGCACGATAAATGTACAGCCATGGCTTCTAAGTTGGAAGATAGAATTGGCCGTATTGCCCGAACATCTGTTATCCCCTTTCGATGGTCTATACAAGTCGTCTTCTCAACCTTCCATCTTCGTCCGTTGAAGAACCTGTCCACCTTAGCAACTCGTGATACTTGAACCTCACGTTGCAGAGCATATCAACCATACTTGCTACAATCTAACAGCCACAATGGCCTCATTGGATCCTTTTACCCAGAACGTCACATTCCATACTGGCGATGGAACTCCCTTCGAGGTGAACGTGCAGGACATTGACACCTTCTTGCAGTACTGCATCCAGATCTGCACCAACTATGGCGCCCAGCTTGGAGCTTCCATCGTGCTCTTCGTCATCCTCCTGCTCCTGACCAGACCCGAGAAGCGCAGTTCCAGCGTCTTCATCCTCAATTGCGCTGCCCTGCTCTCCAACGTTGGCCGTCTCTTCTGTCAAATCGTGTATTTCACTACCGACTTCGTGAGAGTGTATGCCTACTTCTCCGGAGACTTCTCCCAAGTGCCAACCTCCGCATACGCCAACTCCGTCATCGCAGTGGTATTTTACACCATTCTCGTGATATGCATCGAGGCTTCGCTCGTCCTGCAGGTCCAGGTCATCTGCGCGAACCTCGGTCGTGTATACCGACAGGTCCTCCTCTCACTGTCCATCGTGGTTGCACTGATCCCAGTCGGATTCCGTATGGGCATGATGGTCGAGAACGCCATAACAATTATGGCAGCTGAAAGCAGCATACACCTCGTCTGGCTTCAAAGTGCAGAGAACATCACCGCCACAATCAGCATCTGCTTCTTCTGCGCCATCTTCGTTGGCAAGCTCGGGTTCGCTATTCGTCAGCGCCGCAGACTCGGTGTGCGGGACTTTGGCCCGATGAAGGTCATCTTCGTTATGGGTTGCCAGACTTTAGTCATTCCAGGTATGTGAAACCTCCAATCACTCTTACCATCATATTTATAACTGAACTCCGTCCACAGCCATCTTCTCAATCATCCACTACATCGCCGCCGTCCCAGCCCTATCCTCCAACGTCGTCACCCTAGTCACCATCTCCCTCCCTCTCTCCTCCATCTGGGCCGGCGTCACCTTGACCAAAGCCTCCACTGGCGCTGGCTCTAGCCCTGCCACCGGCTCCGGATCTGGTTCGTCAGGCCGCAATCTCTGGAACGTGCTCTCCTTTCCTGTCTTGGACAGTAGAAACACTACCAGTATAACCACTTCCTCAATGCCAACTATGAATCCAGTTTCAACCTGCTACGCCGATAATGGTTCCTCCAAGCAGCTCAAGCAGCAGACTAATACCGAGGAAATCGGCATCACAGTTGAACATGAGATCTCGGTGCAGAGCTTCAAGAGGGAAAGGGATATGGTTTGAACTGAATCATGAATACTACTGCTCCTTTGGTGTGATTCGAAGGGACTTGTTCGTATTTCTCTGGGGTCGTGGAGCCTGGATATGGTGGTTATCATCAAGTTGTTATCTCGGGACTGCTCATTTCGATTATGGTTTTCATTTGTGACTGACTTCTGAATTGTTGCAATGCACCGCGCATCAGTGACCTTTATTTCGTTTGTTTAATGCTTATTACAGTGTCTATTGGCATGATAGGTAGTTTTCTTGCGGCGGCCGATTAACTGGCATTTAATGGATTTTATATTTTTTGTTACATGGGACATATTCACTTTAGGTAGGGTTAGCTGGTACTAGTAGGTGTATTTTCCACTAGTATCTGACAGCGACTTTACCCTTTTATAGTGTATCTCTCGCGGAAACGCCACGCTACGATGGGCTTTGACATAAGGATCATCACCATAAGCGTTTCAATTAGCTATACTAAGTACTATACGTTGAAGGCAAATTCTATTTGCGACCGCTCCTCTCACAATACCGCCCAGCTGCGTCAGAACATGCTCAGCCCTCCCTGCCCAACTTCGCCAAAGATTCCGTAAGGAAGTCTCTGGCGTTCATCAGATCCGTGCTGCCGTAAACAACCCTCCGTTTCGGCGCCCCATGCACCCCGCGGTTGGCGGCCCCGGCACCGTCGGCGCCTGGTTGTCCGCTTGTCCGGCTAACCCAGTCCTGCAAGTTGCCATATTCATCCATGCTGCCACCACCGACGGTGAAGACAATCGCTTCGTTGAAAGCCTGTCGGCGCTGGCCGAAGGTGGCGCTCATGCCGGACCCGGAGCTGTTCAGGCTCTGTCCCTGGGCGTTGCGCGAGGCCGAGGCCGGAGGCATGGCGCCTCGGGCGTTGGCGCTGCGGGGGTCGAAGTAGAGGTAGCTTTCTGTCTTGGCGATAGCGGAGCTGGAGGCGGAGGTTGGGTCCATAATAGATTCGGTGATCTTGGTCAGGGTCAGGTCCTTGTTGGCGGGCAGGAAATTCTTGACGCCAGAAATGAGGGAGTCGAAGTTGGCGCCGAGGGCTCCAGAGGTGATGCGGTCAGTCAGTTGGTTGGAGAGAGAGGAGAAGCCGCGGAAGAGGTTAGAGGACTGTTGTTGCGGAGCGGCTGTTGCGGTAGTCATCATGGTCATGCGCGTTATTTCTCGGACCTGTCTGACATAGGCGATGGGGGTCACATCCGTGACGCCGATGCGAGTTAGGGCCTCTTCAAATTGGGTCATCTCTGAGCGGGAAACCTCTGTTTCAGTGCTCAGGAACCAGATGATGAAAAGACGGAGCTTGTCCAGGGGTTCGTTGCCTTTGCTGGAGTCATTGATGAGTTCCATGATCTGGGCCTTGGTTTGCTTGGTGATGTTTTCTTCCAGTTCGAAGAAGTTATCCAGCTGGCGGTCTTTGATTCCCTTGAGCAGGGCGGTCGCAATGTTCATGTGCATGTCAAGAATCGCCTTGCGCTCCCGAAGTTCTGGAAGGAGTGTGATGGCAGCCTTGAGATGCTGTGCAGAGGCGCTGGTGTCGTTCTGTAGATCTTCAATCGAGGAAGCGCCGGTCTTCTTTGTGATCTCAGTGGCGTCCTCCTTGTAACGTGTAAGCTCTGCATCGATGTCTTCCGCGACCTGAGGAAATGGCGCGCCGGCATTACGCTTCCAGAAGAAGTCGTTGCTATTCAAGTCATATGCTCTCTTTGTCACGGCCTTCGCAGGGTTTGCTTCATCGGTGGACTCCACGGTGATCCGATTGAGGCGCATCTGTAGAACGTCCTGCACCAGAGACTGGTACGTCCACGAGTGGGAAAGCATAGGCACTAAATCCACGTTTCGATCGACAATAATCAAAACGGGTCGCGATGAGGGAACTCCAGGCGTGTTCTTCTTGTTTGAAAATAAATTGTCTTTCGAGTTAAGGATGTGATCGCGTAGCTTGCGGTCCAGCTTTGTTGCTATTAACTCTGCCGCGCCGCCCTTAGGACACCGGATAATGGGGATAGCACCTGTTCGTATTCTCCCGTCAGTTAAGGAAAAAAGGACCATGTCGATTGACCTACCCATTGTGACGCTGACACTGAACAACCCGCTTACAATCCTATCCACAATCGCATCCAGATCATCGTCGCTGGTTTGCGCACTGTTGATCTTCCAGTATGCATCGTTTCCTAGCCCCAAGCTGAAAAGGTCCGGCTCAGCCACAATGAAGTTCAGATACTGATCATAAACCTGTGCGACATGCTCTGCGGTTCCGGTTGTCGCTATCTGAGACGCAAAGTCTTCGAGGAGGGGTCTGGGTACGGAGGAGAGGAAGTTGACGTAGGCGGGAGAGTAAAGACCGCGAGAAAGGTCGTTTGTGATCGCTTCGACGTTAGAAGGTGTAGGTTCGACGAGGTAAACAACAGGAACGTCGGGAATTGGGTATCGTGTGGAATTGATATTTCTGGCGCAGGTCGTTAGCTACGTCACGTACGCAGAGCCATCGATTTAGGGGCCTGGACCAGGGTCCGTACAGGTGAATTGTGACTCCCCAAGCTCTAAGGTCATTGACTCGCAGCACGCTGCTGATGACATCTCTTCCCATATTATCAAACACCAGGACCTTCCAGATAGGATCGCCATCCTCGTTCAGTACCGGGGTGGAAATGAGGCCCTGCGCAGACGCATCGTGGTGGGCGTCTTCCGCGGGTTGCGGTTCATGGTTCAAGTTGAGAATCTTGTGAATGGAGGCTGAGATTGAGTTAGGAAACTATGAGGATCTGCACAAATCCAATATGGACAGCAGAAACCTACCGACCTGACGGTCCCTCAAAGACGTTTGTTGCGAGGCCATAGTAGTTCGATTTAAGCTGGACTTGCTTTCACCCCGGATGGTTATCACGATTACCTGGAATGGCCAAGATTCATGACATGTGGTGAGGGGACAGGGGCAAGGAGATCAAGCGATGCGATATTGAATTCCGGGGAGAAAAAACAGCAGTACTTTTAAACTCCGCTGGAGATAGATAATATGATAGAGAGGAATTACCCACTCATCAGTCTGTAACTACACACTCTCCACCTGGCATCCTGAGAAGCTTCCCGCAATTGATGAGGAGATGACATAAGCTTTCGCCCAGCCAATCTGGGCACTGCGATCATGTGCCTCACGCTAGGTCGGAAGAGGCGTAGCTCATTTCAGGCGTGGCCCAACCGAGCGCCGCCCGGCTTTTTCAGTCTCACGACAACCAGCACTACCAACCACCCTCCCTCTCCCCCCATCCCTATCCCTTCCACCCTTCCTCGTAAAGCAAATGACTATGCTGCTAAGCTGCAGTCCCGAGTGGTTCTTTGTATAACACCTTTTCTTATCATCTTTTAAGACAGAATAAGAAGAAAAGGTCCACCCAGGACAGGCAGTACGAGTGACTTTTTGCCTCAGCTGCTTTTGCAACCAAAAGAAGAAAACAGGAGAAAGTGAGGCTGGCAGGAGAGAAGAGTGACAAGGACAAGGATACAAACACAAGGCTTTTATTTGTTTAAAAGGATTGCTTGGGAAAGCCGGAGAAGGACAGAAACAGAAGAAGGAGAGCAGGCTCTTCAGGAAGCCAAAGATTATCTTACGTCTATTATACGGAGTACTTGGCTGGTGTATTCGAAAGAGTTGATCCAGCTTTTTGCGGCGTGGACAACCTTGTTCTAATCTGCCTAAAAAAGAAAGAAGAAAGAGAGAGCTGAGAGGAGAGGCTGCACACTGGGGATATCGCGCAACGTGACGTGACATTAAGGATATCAGGCACAGCCAAAGCCGAAAAGTCTGGTGCCATTGCTTCCCTCTCTGACTTACTCCGAGAGCTCAGGTGTGGTTCCCTTCCCCCCCTCCGCTGCCTCCGAATAGGAGACAATTTCACGGAACTGGAAAGCGGGAAGAGCAGCGGGCGCCGACCATTTGCCACCCTCCATTCGGCACCTCATCGGTTCTCTACTACTACAGTACTTACCTACCCTATTTGCACTACGGAGTACTACTACTTACTACACCTACACTACTACTACTCTACTATCTTTTGACTATCTCGGTCTTGGTCCAGTCTTGGTCCAGTCTTGGTCCACTATCGACGTATCAGCGATCCCTTAGGCTGACAAACACGGTCGGGACGATTGATTCGCCCAGAGAGCTCTTGACCTAATATCCGGCTCCATTGGGAAGGTTTACTGCGCCGCCGTTACGCGTGACGGGAGAGCCAATCAACGCGCGAGTCGGCGAGTCCTCCCCACCAGGGGAATCACGCCCAAACTCCGACCAAATCCAGAGCGGCATTGGCTCTTGTCCCAATTGAGCCTGGTCTCTCCCACACCTACACCACCCAACCCCGGCACGTGGATGCATGTGACTTATACTACATTTGGCCGTGCACCCGCTTTACTGCCTTAGTACCTTGACTCCACACCCGCCGCTACCCACGACTATCATATACTTCTTCTCGACCTACATATTCTCCCAGGATCGAGGGTCCGTGGGTTTCTAGAAAGCGGGGGATGAACGGGAGTATGGAGCAGTCACCGCCGCAAAATATCATGCCCGGTCTGCACCGTGCACCAGTAGACCCCGGCTCGTTGCCGCCCGAATACTGGAACAGCTTTGAGCCTCTGTATACCAACCCCGACCCTCCACATCAACATTCGCATCCATCCCAGCCACCGCAGCTTCAGCAGATTCAGCCGGCACCGCCGCAACAGCAACATGCGACGCCAATGGGGATTAGCTGGGATCACCCAATGTTCAGTCAAACTCCCCAGACTCGGAGTCCTCTGCCCACACCCCAGGAACAGAACCATGGCATCTATACGTCGGCAAGCCCCCAATCATGGCGGACCACTCCTTTGCAATCCCAGCAAATAATTCATCCCACGCCGCAGACGTTTTCCATGAACCAACAGTATCGTCAGGCGCAATTTCCTCATGCGCAACCGGCGTTTGATTCACAGCCACTCCCCTCGTCGGACAATTC